TGCTACTGACAAGAAAATACAACAAATGAGATGATTGAACAAACAGGAGCTTATTCGCTTACAGTTTAGAGGCTTTAAGTCTGAGTTCAAAGTGCCAGGCTCTAGGGGCTGGGTGAAAGCCCCTCAACCTTGGGATTCAGCTCTGCCTCCTGCTCCCAGCCCACTGAAGCTGGAGACTTTTCTTCACTCAGACAGCTGCTGGCTGCTGAGACTGACAACCCCAAGGTTGACAAATAAAAAGGCACAGTCCCGATGTTACCAAACCAAATGGCAGGCCATTAATTCAAGTCCATTGAAAGTCCCAAGATTGGTAGAGCATGGCAGGCTGCTGAACAGTGACACGGCTACATGCAGGATTGAAGCATGCCATAAGCTAGAGACCATTCCCAAAGCTACTGCTATGTACAGGAAGCAGATCAAATCTCTAAAGCAGCGACTCAGCTGCTTGTGGTAGATTCCACCATGGAGTTGATTGCCATTCTCATCATGGGGAATAACTACTACCAGCTGCCCAGCCACTCAACCGGCCCAAACAAGTTGACATACAATTTTAACTACTATATATATTTATATTTTACCTAGGTTGATTAAACACTGCTAGATATCACTTTTGCCCTAATACTTACTCAAGAGGTGAACACTTGATAAATCTTATTCTCAATTAAAAGCACTATTCAAACATCTATTAAATGAGGCTTTGAAATCACAGCAGAAAAAGAAATTCAAGAAAGCAATTCTAAAGAAAGAGTGAAGTCCCAATAAAGACACACGACAGTATCCTAAAAACAGTTTATGAGACTGGAGCAGTTGAATTGTTTCTACATTCCCGGCAGAAGAGAGAAAAGGCCAGGCTTTACCTAGTTATTTACTTGAAATTGTGACAGCCAAAAAGTTCTGTTCACTAGCCATTCCCTATGTTGAGAACAAATGTACAATTGACTTGTGAATGAAATATGTGTATATTAAAAATCTGACGTTATGTGTAGCTACTTGGGAAGAAACAGTCCATTCATTGCTGACCTGTGATCTTTCTTTGGCTGCAAACACTATCATTCTCGTCAATGTTAATTTTTCTATTTCCTTTCTCCACAATTGCACAATGTATGAATGTATATATAAATATTCCAAGTCTTACCAGACATTTATACAATATACCACTTTTCATTATGACAGGAAATTTTAAATGTGAAAAAAGAGTGATTGTTTCAAGGAATACTTTATAAATGTTGGTTTCTGCTTGAAATTTCGATCATATATTTAGCAGTACTCCAAACAAGCCACATCTGAGCCAGCCAGTGAGGGTGGGGAACTGATAATGTTTTTATCTGAACAGGAGTCCTGTCCCTTTAAGAATGTGATAAGGGAGATGGACTTCCTCCTCAGAAAAATACACATAAGCATACAACAGATTACATCTAATATTAAGGGGTTTAGAGACTTTCCTAAGAATAATGTGCATGCTCTTCTAGAAAACATTCACCTAGCTGAATGTGGGAAGACCCTGACACTAACTTACCTCATTTAATTGAAGATTCTGCTAAGTGTGTCCTAGTAGTTGTATGAGCTGTGCTGAATCTGGTTCTTTGAGTATAGAGAAATATCTGCTTAGCTGACTAATTGATTCTAAACCAAAAAAAAAAAAAAAAGCTCACTGCTGTGGAGTCACATCCAACTCATAACAACCCATCCTTGGGTTTCTCAGGCAGTATCACTATGGAAGTAGATTGCCCAACCTTCTGAGGAGTGGCTGGTGGGTTTTAACCGCCAGCCTTCTGGTTAGCAGTCAAATACCTTAGGCACTACGCCACCGCAGCTCCCTAATTGCTTCTAAAGGAGAAGAAAATTAAGAAGTAAGACAAGAAGAATTCTTCAAATCTCTGGTCTATATCTTTTTCTAATATAACAGCAAGACAAGTTTTTTGTTTTGTTTTTAAATGGCATCATTCATACTTAACTATGAAAGTGGTTAAAAAGAGTAACAATACATTTGTAAGAGACAATTCAGAGAGTATCTGTAGTATGGAGTGGTATTTTTATTTCCATAGTGGTGGAAAGTAATTATTTTTATCAGTGAATTCCATGTATCATGCCATCATTAAGAAAATAAGTATATTAAGAAATACACATAGATAGGGCATATGATATAAATTAATATACATTATACATGATTGGGAGCTCTGGTGGCATAGTGCTTAAGACATTTGACTGCCAACCAGAAGGCTGGTGGTTCAAATCCACCAGCCACTCATTGGAAGGAAGGTTGGCCAATCTACTTCCGTAGTGATACCTCCTCAGAAACCCAGGGAGAGGTCTCTATGAGTTGGGTATGACTCGATGGCAGTGAGTTTGGTTTTTTGGTTTTATACATGATTGTATAATAACCATGTTTGGTAAACTAGAGGGTCAGCGAAAAAGGGGAAGAATCTCAATGAGATGGATTGACACAAAGCTGCAACGATGGTTTCAAATATAGCAATGATTGTGGGGATGGCACAGAACTGAGCAGTGGTTCATTCTGTTCTGCATAGGGTTGTGTTTCGGACACTTCGTGCTAACAGAAAATGCCACAAATGGGTGGCTTTAACGAACAGGAGTTTATTCGCTTACAGTTTGGGAGGCTAGAAGCCTGAGTTCAAAGGACCAGGCCCTAGGGGCTGGGTGAAAGCTCCTGGACCTTGGGCTTCAGTGCTGCCTCTTGCTCCCGGGCCACTGGAGCTAGAGGTGTATCATCACACAGGCAGCTGCTGGCTGGTGAAGCTAACAAGCCCAAGGTTGACAAAATGGCACAGTTCTGATATTACCAAACCACATTGATACAAGACCATTAGGAGTCCCAAGACAGACAGACAACATGTCAGGTTGCTGAATAATGACATGACTACATGCTGGATTCAAGCATGCCAAAAGCTGCAGACCTTCCTCAAAGCTGTTTCTTGTATATTGGAAGCAGATCACATCCTTAAGGCAGCTACTCAGCTGCTCCAGTAGATTCCACTATCGAGTTGATTGCCAATCTCATGATGGGGAATAACTGTATCCAACTGCCCATCCACTCAACCAGGCCCAGCCAAGTTGACACATAAGCTTAACTACCACAGATTGCTATGAGTCTGAGCCAGCTCCATGATACCTAAAACAATGTACATTATACATGAGTTGCTTAAAAATGGTTCTTTTTCATTCTTAGGAGGTAGAAAGCTAGAAATTCCTTTCAGTGTTGAAAGGAATTTGGGTTCCTCCCTAAGGTCAGAAAGATTTGAAGTACAGAGTTTTCTTCCATTGCCTTGGAAGAAGTCTTGCTCATAACAGAGGTCATTAAAGCAAACAAACAAACTCATTGCCATCAAGTAGAACTGAGCTCCATAGGGTTTTCTTGGCTGTAATCTTTTTGGAAACAGATTAGAAGACCATTCTCCCAGAGAGTTGCAGGGTGGGTTCAAACTGCCAATGTTTAGGCTAGCCGATCAGAAACCACCTGCATCACCCAGGCTCCTTATAGAGGACATTATGTGATTAAAATACCAATTGAAATATTGACTATAGAGATTGCTTCTAAAAGGTATTCTTTACTAATTAAAATTCTGGATCTGGATCTTTCTCTCTCTCTCCCTTTTTTTTTTTTTTTAGAAATGAGTTCATTATATGTTCCAAAAATTGTGATGGCTCTTAAACACATTAGAAATTGATAACTTTCAGTTTTGAAAAGTTTCAGTAGTAAAATATATAATACAAAATACCACATTAGTGTTTTTAAAAAATGTATTTCATTTTCTTAGCAGTAATGAATCCAAAGTATTTTCAGAGTTCAGAACCATTTGGAGGGGGGAAAAAAAAGAAAGTTAAATATCCGTATATAACTCTATCTACAACTAAAACTACATTGAAATAGTTCGTTCTGCTTGATAAAGGGTATTCATTATTTACAGTCTAACTCTGAGACACTATGTTGGTATCTAGATATTCTCCATGAAGTCAGAATGTCTTCTATCTACTGAATGAAATGATATAATATATTAGATGAGAGAAAAAATCCTACTTTGGATGTAGGATCAATAATGATCAAGTGTGATTGCTCTTACTTCTTAGATCTAGTTGCCATTCCTGACTTTGAGACTGGAGCCATGGAAAATTGGGGCCTCATCACATATAGAGAGACATCATTGCTCTTTGATCCCAAGACCTCTTCTGCGTCTGACAAACTGTGGGTTACCAAGGTCATAGCCCATGAACTAGCACACCAGGTACTTGGCACTCCATGACATTCTCTTAATATCAGTCCCAAAGAGAATTATACAGAACCCCATCAATCTTCTTGAAACAACATAAAAATCACACCATTTACTTATAAAGGGGACCTTAGGGATTACCAACTGTAACACAAAACATCAAGTAGCAAAGGATTCATTCTCTAGACTATGGGATTCATACTGGAATTTTTTCAAAAGGGAAGTGACCACTATATTTATCCTTTAAAACCCTTCAAAGCAAAGCAGTGATTCAAATATCTTTTGGTAAAGAAGGATGGGCTGTGCAGACATAGAGCACAGTACTGGAAAGCCTACAAAAAAAGATGTCTATTAAAAATATTTCTACTTTTACTCCCTAGTTCCCTGGCATTCCAATCCAGGACAAAATCAATCTCCCTTCAGTTGGAACCTGTGATTACATGGCCATAATGAAGTACTTCAAGTCTGTGTATTCACAGGCTACTTGACCCTGGGCAGGCATAATGTCTTTAAGATTCAGTGTCTTCATCTATAAAATGAATTTAATAGTAGTTCCTGCTTCATAAAACTTTTATGAGGATTACAGATACAGGAAATGCCTGTGCCTGTCGTATAGTAAGCACTCAATAAGTGTTAGTTATTAATGACAGTGACCATGACCACTACTACTACTATCAGCCCTTTCAGGATAAGATTCCCAAGGGCCATTTCTCAACACTATATTACATACAAATATGGAATCGTAAAACGAAGTCTACAGATATCAAGAGACTATTTCTACTCTTTCTTGTTTCTGAAAATCCCTAGTAACTCAGCAAATTATTAAAAACACAGGAAATTTTCTTTCACCATGTAAACAAATATCATTCCATTGTAGAATCCAGCACAATATCTTATTTTTTATTATTACTAACTTTATCCTTTTTTATTACCATAATCACAAGTTTGTTTGTTTGTGTTAAGCAGTGAAGTACAAATTACATAGGAGGCCATGCTCAGCACTGCTCTTTTAGAATATATGAGCTGCTTCCTCTGGTTCAGAATCTCCCCACCAGCCCATTTTAGGTGTTTTGATCATTAGTCACTGGGGGCTTTAAAGCACTTTACTGAGTCTGGGGATTCCTTATCTTTCTGTCCCACGTTTGTAGGGAAATGTTCTGAAAGCTTTACCTCCGAGTCTCCATGCTCTCTGTGGGCCTTCTTTTAATAGTTCCTCTTTTATGGAGATGCAGAGTCTGGGGCTGAAGCAGCAGATAGAATTTTTGCACTGACTATTTTGTTTCCCCACTGATCTCCCTATGGGTGTATCACTCCTCTGTGTAAAACCCTAGATAAGACTCCCCAGTGCCAACTGGGTGGGTCAGGGGTCTAGCATGGCCTACAAAGCCCTCATGACATTATCTTTCCCTATTTCTCCAGTTTCATCTCTTACCCATCCTGAGCTTTACCCATCCAGACTACCTGCCATTTCCTAAACATGCCAGTTTGTCACCCCTCTGAACCTTTTCTCCTGCTATCTGGTCTGCCTAGAGCACAAACCACTCCCTGAAGATTATTTATAAGACTCAGGTAATGAATCATTTCTTAACTCCCTATACGCCCCCTCCACCCAACAGAACTGACCATTTCCTCTGGAATCCCCTTTATTCCTGGCCCAGATATCGGTCATAGTACCTATAACACTTGACTGCATTTATTTGTCTACCAGTTGACCTCCATCATTTGTACTGGGGCTGTGGCTATATCATATACATCTTTGTATTTCTAACACATGGCACCTAGGCATATAGTAGGGTCTCAATACATATTTGTTAAATGAATGAAAAAACTATCACTAACTGGCCAGATAACCAACCTGTGCCTCTCATATGTACCACTTTTCTAACAGGAAATGCTTTCTGTCCCTTCTCAATATGCCCTTGGGAAGATTAGTGCCCACTTGCAAAATGATTCAAAAGACTCAGAAAAGGAATAGTACTTAAGTGGTTTCTAAAAGTTACAGACCCAGCACTTTCTGTTCTATGATTATAATAAGACTCTTCTGAATCTTAGAATCTTGTTTAAACTCCCTGTCATTCTGGAGATTGCAATTCTAAAATAGGTATTCTAGATGCATAGTATTGGGCATATGTAAAATTAATTAATTAGTAAATAAACAATATAAAAACACATCAAATAATAATATATAATCTGTTACAGATTAAATGTAGGTCAAGGTTAAATCTCTATCTAGATTATCCTTATGCATCCTTTTTATTTTATTAATATATATTTTTAGATCTCCAACCTTTATTTTTTTAGAGACCAACTTAATCCCTTGAAGTAAGTCAGGGCACTTAAATTTCCTCATCAGTATTGTTATATAATAATCTGAGAGCCTAAATGAATTATGATTTTCTTAAGTACCTGCTAGTTAATATCAAAAAGGTACATCACATGGGCATTTTAGCTTATATTTATCCTTATACTTATAAGGTAGTATCCATAAGTCAGGGAGCTCTGATGGCGTAGGGCCTAAGGCATTTGACTACAAACCAGAAGGCTGGTGGTTCAAACCCACCAGCCACTCCTCAGAAGGAAAGTTGGGCAATCTACTTCCATAGTGATACTGCCTCGGAAACCCAAGGAGGGGTTGGTAGAGGTTGGATCTGACTCGACGGCAGTGAATTTGGTTTTTGGTTTGAACCATAAATCAAAGACAAGGTGGAATTATTCTCATCATGCAAAAATAAAAGAGAAAATCTACCCTACAAAAAATGCCATTTTCTTCTTTAATATGAAATTTAACAGCTAGGAAATGTTGGGAGGATGGAATAGGAGCTGGAGAGTTAGGGAGTTAGAGGCAGTAAGGGAACAATAGAAAGAAAAGTGCAATGGTGGCAGGGAGAGTACAGAGGCAAAGAAATAAGTAGAAGGCAGCTGTTCAAGAAGGGAACAATAGAAAGAAAAGTGCAATGGTGGCAGGGAGAATACAAAGGCAAAGAAATAAGTAGAAGGCAGCTGTTCAAGAGAAGAGTGTAGCAAAGAGGGAAAAATTCTCTTTTTTTCTTCTACAATTAATAATTTTTGTATTTGTTTAACTCCTACTAAAATCGAAATTTTACTTCCAAGTGGTTTGGCAACCTGGTTACAATGGAGTGGTGGAATGACATTTGGCTCAATGAAGGTTTTGCAACATACATGGAGCTTATCTCTATTAATGCTACATATCCAGAACTACAATTTGTAAGTTTACCATTTTGTGTATCACATTATATGTCCTAAAGAATCATCAATACATTGTTAAACTTTTTAGTCAATGCTAAAAAGAAAATAATGTGACATTATGTTATTTGAACAAGTAGTGTTATATTTGATACATGAAACAAGTCATAAAACTGAATGAGACATTAGGGTTTTAAAAAAAACAGTCAATATAGAAGCTTCATACAGAAGAGTGAGCAGAGTAGCACAAATATACAGCTGTGTATGTGAGGTGAGAAGAAAGACTACCACTGTCCATATACATTGACATAGTAATGCCCATGGCTATTAGGTCCTGTGCAGAATTCTGGGCTTATAACCTGAATTGAATATGATTAGAGTCATAGTCCTCCAGAACTTCCAAAAGACCTGTTGGCTTCCTGAAAATGGATGAAGGGATTTCTTAAAATATGTCTTTTTTTACAGACATAAAGGATCTGGACATTTCCCAAATCCATACATCACGATGGTTAGAATGATCAATTAGCTCTTTTGGGGGGACATTTGATCCAGTATGATATACACAGACATAGATTCAAATTCAGTGTCTTCTTACAAGCTATGTACTCCCTGAGTTGTTTAATCCTGAACTTTCGTATGTTTTCACCTGCAAAATGTGTGTACTGTATCTCCCTTGCAGGAGTGTTGACAGGATTGCAAGTGATGGATGTAAGGTTCTGGCACATATTAAGTGTTCACTAAATGGGAAGTGTTACTTTTATTTCCAAGGGCTTTTTATAAGGTAAACATTCAGGCGATGTCTGAGGGAATGTTAGATTTGTAAATTTATGAAGTAGAAAATAGGAGACAGGAAGATACATAAAATGGAAAGAATGTCTTACACAAAATATTGATTGAATACTTGCCTCTAAGAATATATTATTAAACTTAGTATGTTTTCTTTCTTTTTTTTTTTCCTCCCTTGTTTAGGATGATTCTTTTCTGAATGTATGTTTTGAAGCAATTGCAAAGGATTCATTGAATTCATCTCGCCCTATTTCCAATCCAGCAGAAACTCCTACTCAAATACAGGAAATGTTTGATGCAGTTTCCTATAACAAGGTATTAAATGTTGTGTGCAGGTGGAAACACTGCCTTCAAGAGATACATAATGAGACCTGTAAAATCAACAGTTTAAGTTGTTGGTGCCAGGTTACTTCTACCTTTTAATCTGTTCTTCATTTTTCAGACATCACACATGTTCAGCTTCCGTTATAAAAATATCACAGTACCTTTTCTTTATCTTCCCCGCCCCCCTTAGGGAGCTTGTATTTTGAATATGCTCAAGGATTTTCTGAGTGAGAAGAAATTCCAAGAAGGAATAATTCACTACCTGAGGAAATTCAGTTACAGAAATGCTAAGAATGATGACTTGTGGGGGAGTCTCTCAAATGTAAGTCATGTTAGGTTACAGTAGATTGTTGTTAAGTCTTAAAAGCAACAGGCTAACTATGAAGGTTTTAAATAGTTACATTGTCAGTCCACTAATAATTTATTGCACTTACTAAGGGTGCCAGGAGGAGCTCTGGTAGCATAGTGGCTAAAAGCACTTGACTGCTAACCAGAAGGCTGGTGGTTCAAACCCACCAGCCACTCCTCGGAAGGAAGGTTGGGCAATCCTACTTCCGTAGTGATACTGCCTCGGAAACCCAAGGAGGGGTCGCTATGAGTCAGGGCTGACTCGATGGCACATAACAACAACAACAACAACAACAAGGCTGCCAGGGTCCCTAGAAGGTAACACCTTTCTTTTTCCTCTGGCACCATATTAGACCAGGATGTCATTACCACATACTGGGATGACCACCCAATCAATTGTCATTGAGTAGATTCTGATGGCCTTATGTGTGTCAAAGCAGAACTGTGCTTCACAGGGTTTGCAATGGCTGATTTTTCAGAAGTAGATCACCAGCCTTTCTTCTGAAACACCTCTGGGTAGACTTGAACCTCAGACCTTTCAGCTAATAGCCAAGTGCATTAACCATTTGCACCATCCAGGTACTCTGGGTTGACCACAGGGGTTCCCTACTTGACCTCTCTGTCTTTGGTTTCCTGTCAATGATAAATCCATTTCTATCTTCTCTTATTCCAACATCTTTATTGACTTTTTATTTCCTATCATATAACATGTACGTTATGACATTTCTGAACAAATTTTAAGATGAAGACTACCTTCTCAACCTTATTCCCTAACATGCATGCTCTGTTGAGTGAAACTAATTGCTCCTTCATAAGAGGAAATTCTACTCAATACCCACCTTGTGCTTTTGTTTCTAGTACATTTGACATTTGCTACCTGAAATGTTCTTTCTTCTTTCCACCAATTCAAACATTACCCATCTTTGGTGATCCATCTGATACTTCACTTCTTCCTTATCAGATAGCTCCAGCCCTCACTAATGCACCTTTCTGCTGAATGCCTAGAAGAGCACTTATAATCTGTTCTACTCAGTAATAGTCTCTTTAATTGTGTGGGCGTCTAAATTGCTTAAGAGTAAGATGATAGCCTTTTTTTTTCTTTCTTTAATGCCATAGCATTAGCATAGTATTGATCCTATAATAGTGATAAATAATTAATGATTGATTAAAGAAGCCATGATCTCTTTGTCTTCAGGATTCATGTAGTATAACAGGGAAGACAAAGCAGAAAGCATGTTGACTTAAATGATTCTCATAGTTATTAAAATATTAACATTTTTCAGCTGCAAAGAAAATAATCTTTTATAGAATTATTAGACTGTTAGAACCTGTGCCTTTAGATTAAAAAAAAAACAAAAACCGTAAGCCATTGTAGCCAGAAGTCCTCACTTTGTTATTAGCACAGAAGTCTTAGGGACAGTAATAATGGTCAACATTTGTATAGCCCTTTACAATTTTGAAAAAGCACTTTCACAAGCATTATGTCATTGGATTCTTTGTGCACATATGAAGCCAGAACCCAAATGGTCCAATTTAAGTATGATTTTTTCATCAAAGGAACAAAGAATGGCAGTCAAAAATTATTTCAAAGTAACTGAACTCTCTTACTTGTGTTTCTTGAAAATCATAAAAGGGACCAAAATACATAGTCCTTAGTAAAACTTCCAAAAATCCTCTTTACTATCCATTCCTATCAACCCCTGCAGGTGATCCACATGCTCGATGTCTGAGATTCCTCCTAAATCTGTCAGCACCTAGCCTCATGTAGCTTTGGTCTCTTATCCTTCTCCCTTGCTATGTGTATGTGTGTGTATGGGTGTGTAGATGTCAATCTAGCCTCTCTCCAGCAAGAAAGGCTCTGTTTTTGGTATACATGGGGGGGGGGGTGAGGAGTAATTAAAGGGGAAATTTGCCTAGCAATTACAGGATTCTTTCAGGCCAGCTGAGGAACAAATGAAAGTATCAGTACTCCTATGTTAATTATGTGAAAGCAAGACTGAGCAATCTACTTCCATAAAGATTTACCACCTCAGAAACCCAATAGGGGTTGCTATGAGTCAGAATTGACTTGACAGCAGTGGGTTTGGTTTTGGTTTATGTTAATTATTGTCTCATCATGATTATTACACCTCAAGAATATAAAGTGGCTTGCTGACTTGTCTTCATATCCTAGTGTTGCTGTACCATAAACACTGTAAGCGGTTCATTTTAAAGAATGGAAATTTATTTTCTCACAGTTCTAAGGGCTAAGCCTCCAAATCAGGGTCTTGGCCATGTGGATTCCTTCTTTGGGCTTCTTTCCTAGCTTTGGGTATGTGCCAGTGATCCTTAGTCCTTGGCTTGTAGATGATACTCATATGTTACTATCTTCCCTTGTGTGTGTGTGTGTGTGTGTGTGTGTTTGTGTCTATCTTTTTATAAATCAAAAGTGATTAGATTTAGAATCTGCCCTACCTGGGCATGATCTAACTAACATAACAAATAAAACCCTCATTTTAAATAGTATTACATCCACAGGCATAAAATTCCACTATTATGCTATTGTTCTGAGGTGCCATCTAGTTTATTCCAAATCCTAGTGATTCCATGTGACAAACTAGAACTTCCCTCATAGGATTTTTTGGCTGTAATCTTTACTGAATCTTTGCCAGGTCTTTCTACCATGGAGCTACTGAGTAGGTTCAAACCACCAAACTTTCAGTTCGCAGCCAGGCACTTAGCCATTTACACCACCAGGACTTCTTTAATACTTATTTTGGGGGACACAATTTCATCCATAATATTACCCCATTTTACAGATGGGAACACTAAGATCAGTTTGATTTGCCCAAAATCATGTACCAAGTCAGTGCATAAAATCTGTCTTCTGACTTGTATTCATTCTTTCAATTACATCACAGCTACTTCCTAGTTATCAACACATTCTCCCCTGTAGGTCTCCCATTTAGAGTCTAGCTGACTCCCTTCTAATATTGAATGACACTATGATATAAAAAATGGGAGCTCTGATAGCATAGTGCCTAAAGCATTTGACTGCTAACCAGAAGGCTGGTGGTTCAAACCGACCAGCCACTCCTCGGAAGGAAGATGGGGCAATCTACTTCCGTAGTGATACTGCCTTGGAAACCCAAGGAGGGGTCACTATGAGTCGGGTCTGACTCGATGGCACATAACAACAACAACAATGATATAAAAATAATAAATTTTTAAAATATGTTACTCACCATTGTGTCACATAAAGTCAACTATAATATATGACTATAGCAACTGAGGAATTACAACAATTCTTTGTTGTTATTTTTCATAAATCCACTTAATAATGGTTGGAAGACAGTATTTCACTATTTCTCCATTTAAAGTTCCCCTTAGAGCATTAACTCCTGGTTATTCAAGGGTACATTGCCAAGTTGGTCATTTTCTTGGGTCTCATTTCAATCCCATTCATTTCAAAATTTATTGTACATCCACCAAATGCTGCTGTGGTAGTCACTGTGGAACTATTCAGGTAAGTAAATGTGTTTTCCCCATTGAAAAGGAACTTTGATCTTATTTAATACAAAAAAGTATTTAATACAAAAAAGACAGACTTGTCTAAACACATGCCCAAGTAATATGTACAATGAAATAATAAAGTAGGACCTTTTCCAGGGTAAGGAAAAAAATAAAAGGAAAATTCATCACTTTTACAAACTGACTCAATATTCTAAAAAGCCTATTCCAACTTATTGAACTTCTTTAGAAGTTAAAAATGTGTATTTTTTTTAACATGAAAATTTTCCTGTATTTCCATTCTATAGTCACTACAATGATTTTTTTTTTTCATTTTCACTGTCTTTATGAATTAAATTTTAAATTTTTACATGTTGTTATTGTTATGTGCGGTCGAGTTGGACCTGACTCATAGCAACCCCTCCTTGGGTTTCCAAGGTGGTATCACTATGAAAGTAGATTGCCCAACCTTCCTTCTGAGCCATGTTAATATTTGCATCCATATGTCATATGCATTTTCAGCCAACTCTTGGTGCCCAAATGACAGTGTTCTTTATTCTTGTTTTATTTATAATAGAGTTGTTTAGAAGGTGATTTTACATCTGATGGATTTTGCTATTCCAATTCCAAGATGACAAGTAACACAGTAAGTACAAAGAGCTACAGAACAGAACAAACCATGTACATCATTCTGACCTGGAGTGAGAATGACACATAGGGTAGCCCCTCTCTCTTTAAAATAACTGGAGGGAGGACAACTGTGATTTTCCTTAAAACAGCTCTGACTGAAGAAGGCATGTTCAGGCCATGCAAAGGGATGATGCTGTTACTACTATTTTTTACTGTTATAATTATGCTTTTTCACAACCCTACTTCTAGCTGAGAGTATCTCAGCCCATAATTATTTTTGAGTGGTTACTGCTGCATTTGATATTCACCTGTTGTTGTTGTTGTTAGGTGCCATTGAGTCTGCTCTGACTCACAGTTATCCCATGTACAAAAGAACAAAACACTACCTGGTCCTATGCCAGCCTCACAACTCTTGCTATATATGAGCCCGTCATTGCAGCCACTGTGTCAGTCCACCTCGTAGAGGACATTCCCCTTTTTTGCTGACCTTCCCCTTTACCAAGCATGATATCCTTCCCTGGGGAATGGTTCCTTCTGACAACATGACCAAAGTAGATGAGATGAAGTCTGGCCATTCACACTTCCAAGGAGCATTCCAGCTGCGCTTCCTCCAGCACAGACCAGTTAGTTCTTCTGCAGTCTATGGTACTTTCAGTATTCTTAGCCAATATCACAGCTCAAAAGCATTAACTCTTCTTTGGTCTTATTCATTGCCCAGTTTTCACATGCATATGATGCGATTGAAAACACCAAGGCTTGGGTTAGGCACACCTTAGATTTCAGAGACATCTTTGCACTTCATCACTTGAAAGAGGTCTTTTGCAGTTGTCCTCTGATGTCTTGACTGCTTCTTCCATTGGTGTTGATTGTAGAACACAGTAATATGAAATCTTTGACAACTTCAGTCTTCTCTCCATTTGTCATGATGCTGCTTATTGGTTCAGTTGTGAGGATTTTAATATTCTTTATGTTGAGATGTAATCCATACTGCAGATTATAGTCTATAATTTTCATCAGGAAGTGCTTCAAGTGATCTTTACTTTCAGCAAGCTAGGTTGTGTCATTTGTACATTGCAGGCTATTAATGACTCTTCCTCCAGTCCTGATGCCATGTTCTTCTTCATATAATCTAGCTTCTCAGATTATTTGCTAAGCATACAGATTGAATAAATGTGGTGAAAGGATACAACTCTGATGTATTCCCTTCCTGATTTTAAACCATGCAGTGTTCCCTTGCTCTGTTCAAACAGTAGTCTCCTGGTCTATGTACAAGTTCCTCATAAGCACAATTAAATGTTCTGGAATTCCCATTCTTCTCAGCGTTATCCATAATTTGTTATGATCCACATAGTTGAATGTCTTTGCATAGTCAATAAAACACAAGTAAACATCTTTCTGGGACTCTTTGCTTTCAGCCAAGATCCATCTGACATCAACAATGATATCCTTCATTCCATGTCTCCTTCTCAATCCAGCTTGCATTTCTGTCAATACATTGCTGTAGCCATTTTTGAAGTATCTTCAGCAAAATTTTATTTGTGTGTGATATTAATGATATTGTTAAATAATTTTCACATTCTGTGGGATCATCTGTCTTTGGAATGGGTACAAGTATTCTTCCAGTCAGTTGGTCAGGTAGCTATCTTCCAGATTTCTTGGCATAGATAAGTAAGTACCTCCAGTGTATCTTCTGTTTGTTGAAACATCTCAAAGGGCATCCCATCAATTCCTGGAGCCTTGCTCTTCACCAATTCCTTCAGTGCAGCTTCAACTTCTTCCTTCAATACCATTGGTTCTTGATCATATGCCACCTTCTGAAATGGATGAACACTGACCAATTCTTTTTGGTATGCTGACTCTACACATTCATTCCATCTTCTTTTGATGTTTCCTGTATCATTCCATATTTTGACCATAGAATATTTCAGCAACTTGAGGCTTGAATTTTTTCTTCAGGTCTTTCAGCTTTAGAAATGCCTAGCATGTTCTTCCCTTTGGTTTTCTAACCCCATGTCTTTGCACAATTCATTATAATAATTAACTTTGTCTTCTCAAGCTGCTCTTTGAAATCTTCTGTTCAGCTCTTTCATCTTGTTATTTCTTCATTTGCTTCACCTACTCTCCAAGAACAAGTTTCAGAGTCTCTTTTGACATCCATTTTGGTCTTTTTTTTCCTTTCTTGTCTTTTTAATGACTTTTGCTTTCTTCATGTATGATGTTCTTCTTATTTATTTATTTATTTTAATTGTGATTTGGGTGAAGATTTACAGAGCAAATTCACTTTCCATACAGAAGTTCACATATACTTTGTCTTGTGTCGTCATTGACCACAGTTTACCACAATGCAACAGCTCCCCTCTGACTTCTTTCCCATAGTTACCACTTCCCAGTGTCCGTCCCTCCATACTCTCCTGTGCCCTGAGCTGTCTC